ATTCAAAAAGCCTAAGGGCCATAATATTTTTGGGTTCGAGGATCCACCCTCGCTCAACCAAACCTAAGGGTTTTTTCTGCTCCGAGTATGAGCAAGTACTCATTTGATTATAGAAACTATACTAGTCAGACTCCGATCAAATCACTTAAGTTTCGGATTCGCAAGCAAAATTTTCACAAGACAACGAAGTGAGTCAAAATCCTCACAAGATATAAAGTATATAAAGCGAAAAGAAAAACAAAGTTTTAACAAAATAGAAATTGGAGACGAGTCGGAAAGAAAGGGAATCTTTCATATATACAAAGATATTTACAAAGACCACTCAGGGTCTTACACAAAAATCCAAAAAAGAAGAGAAAATTCTAAGTGCCTAATCCTCCCCGGGAGCCTCATCTTCATCACCCTCGCTCTTGGATTCTCGAGCTCCCAGAACCATCATCATTAGAGAGAAAAGCTTTGGCTTTGGCCTCTAGCACTTTTGCGTTCTCGATATCGACAGTAAGATCAAAGCCACGAGCATGAATCTTCTCGAGACTGTCATTTGGCATGCTCGGCAATGCAGAACGATCGAACTTGAGCAGCATCGGAAATTTCCTTTGCTCGAGCGTGAGCGACTTCAGCGTCAGCTCGGTAGACGGCCACGACCACCTCTGCATCAGCCTTTACTCTTTCTGCCTTAGATGTGGACTTTGCAAGCTCAGTGGACAACCGAACCTCGAGCTCCTCAATTTTCTTGGCTCGGGCCAAGTCTCCTCCTTCATGCTTTGGAGTTGACATTCGATCGAAGATAGCTGGGCCCGAGCAGTGTCTTTCTCTGAGGCAAGGCGGTCCATGTTCTGTTTCCACCCCAAAGTCTCTGCCTCCTTCATCTTGGCCTCCTCGGGAAGTTGCTCGATCTTTTCAGTCTTCTGCTGAACCTGCAAGATTGAAGTGTTAGTCTTCGTCTTCGAATTAATAAAATGAGCTTCCAAAAAGTTATATTACCGGCTCAATCAGGTTGGTATTCCCTTTGTGAGTTGTTGCCAATTCAGCTCGGAGGTCCTTAATCTCCTCTTCTTTTTGCCCAATAAGAAGTTTTAGGGCATCCCTCTTCTCCGTAAGCTTTTAAGTTCAGCCTCGCACTGGTTCAGCTCTGCTCGGGATTTAGAAAAAGCTTCCCGATGAAGCATCAAGGCCTATGAAGAAATAAAGGAAAGTCAAGTAAGAGAAAACAAAGGCAAAAGTAATATAGATAAAGGGAGCTAAGGCTTACCTGACTCAAGATTCGATGGGCCTCATAAAAAATGCTCGACGCATCACCCAGATCGAAAGCATCTTCGACTCCCGTGAAGCAACCGTGGAAAAGGTCTTCGCCTTCATGGGCCATTCCCACATCGGGGGTCCCCATGGCTTGGGCTTCACGAATTTGCCCCCTGAAAAATGAGGGGAGGGGCGGTGAATCATCAATAATTATTGCCCCAAGTGGGTTACTTAGGGCGTTCTCTTCGTTTTGAAGGGCCTCTGAACTGGCCCCTTCAGGTGCGTCCGTCGATTTCCCGTACGGCGGAAGACATTTTCGGTCTCTAATGGCTCGGGGACTTTACTCGGGCCACCCTCCGAGATCCTTTCGGTCCGAGGCTGAACTTCTTCGATTGTCACCGGCTTAGCGGCCTTTGTGACCTTGGCGCTCCTTTTTCAAGCCAACAGTTCGTAGTCAGCATCATATTTCCTCTTCTTCATCTCGTAGCTTCCGAACTACATCCGCAAGCAGGGCGGCGGTATCTTTCTTTGACCTACGAGCCGTGTTCTTCTTAGGCTTTGCAATATCGGAGGGCGAAACCCTTTTTCTCTTCTTATCCTTGGTTAGTTTTGGGGCCTCCTCCTCTTCTCCAGACGAGGGCCTCATGATAGCGTTGTCCCCGAGACCTGTGTAAAAGGAAACCAACTAGAAAAAAAAAAGATACATCTTAGAGAAGAGCGTCAAACACATGAAAAGAAACTCACCATGGTTTTTGGCCTCCCATCGGCCCCTTGCCAAATCGCTCCATGAGTGCTCAGCATATGTAGAAGTCGAGGCCAGCTTCTGAACCCAGCCCTCGAGGTTTGGAATCGCACCGGGTACCCAAGGGACCGCTGCATCATAGGAAGGAACATCGATGAGAAAAAGCAAAAGAAGCAAAACAGTACAATGGAGGTCGGGGCAGGGTGTGTATTTACGCTGCATGTTCCACTCTTCGGGGAATGGCATTTTCTTTGCCGGGATTATGTCAGAAGTCCTCACTCGGACAAATCGGCCCATCCATCCTCGGTCCTTGTCCTCATCTATGCTCGAGAACAGCACCTTGGTGGCCCGACGTTGGAGCCTTATTAAACTGCCTCGATAGAGATGGGGCTATACAGTCTAATGAGATGGTCAAGGGTGGAAGACATCCCTTCGACCTTGCTCACAAAGAATCGAAGCAAAATAACGATGCGCCAAAAAGAGGGGTGGATTTGGCCAAGGGTTATGTGGTATTGGCAGCAGAAGTCAATAATAACAGGATCGATGGGACCCAACATAAAAGAGTATGTATAAACACTTAAAAACCCTTTCACGTGAGTGGTGATGTCCTCTTCAGGGGTTGGAATCACCACCTCCTTGTTTTCCCAATACAATCTTTTTTCACCTGCTCAAGATCGCCCTCAGTTATCGAGCATATGTATCTCGACATTGGCTCACATCGGGCAGGTACCGACGAGGGTTTCTCGATTTTAAAGTCGGAAGTAAGATCGCACGACCCACGAACACACTCTTCGATGCCTGCCTCCACCGGTGTTTTATTGCCGGTCGGTTGCGATGAAGAGGATTTTTCTTTTTAAGAAACGGTTTTCGATGTTTTCGCCATTTCTATATGAGTTCAGAGAAAGAAGAAGATAAAACTTGTTGTTTGAAGAGAAGGTTGGCAAACGGGATATGAAGAACTGAAAAACTTGAAGAAACCAGAAGTACTTGGAAGATTGAAGAGATTTTGGAAATAAAGATTGACAAAGTTATGAAGATGATCTATTTATAATGCTTGCTATGACATTTCAAAGGCACTAGTGGCCGACCATCAACTGGCGCTAATTAATGATCTTGGGAACCGTACCAACGCGACGCTTCAGTCGTTTCTATCGCTTACGTCACAAGAGTGACATCATAACTGGTCGAGGTATAACATCGAAGGCTCAGTTCGTTTCTTCTCATTACACTCCAAGAAACGAGGGGACTATTTGTATACGGTTAAAATCGGGCTTGCTCGATTTTGCTATTTAATCGAGACTAGGGGATCACATCAAGGGTCAGCCTCGTAATGGATCGGGCTATAGCATGAAGACAAGGTGTCGAGTTTAGACACGAGGTGTCCGTCGAGACCGATGCTAGCAACAATCGAGACTAAGTATGACCGACTTCGAGTAAAGTGCGATAACGAAAAGGCGAGATATCCGTAACCGGTCGAAGATCACGACGGAAATCTCGGAACAGATCAAATCAAGGGGGGATTTACTTCCGTAATTAGAATTGTACCGTAATTAGGATTCCTCTAGTATATAAAGGGGGTCTCCATCATTTGTAGACACTTTTACATTGATACAGATCAAGGCAATACAATATTTTTCCCTTTCTCTGGTTTATCAACTTGTTGCTCCTTAACTGTTCTTACTTTGCTGAGCTCGAGGGTTCATCAGCTTGAGGACACTGTCCAAACATTGGTTTGTTTTACATTCTTGTCAATTCCAACCATTTATCTTTAAGTTAATCAATTGGTATTAGGTAAATTCACATATCATTAAAACTACATTATAAATTTAATTGTTATCCAGTTTTTAGGGTAAACAATATTCATCACGTAGTTGAGCCAAGTGCACTTCTGTGAAAGAACCTAATAGGAGCAAAATAGATTAGTTCCCCAGTGAAGCGATTTACCAGTTGCAGTCTTGGAAATGTATTCCGTCAGAGCAACACAGTCAAAACATTTATGTCATAGGTTGGATAGTGAACGTCTCATTTTAACAATTATGTTTGACTAATTCCTTCAGAGCAGTTGTTATAAAACTCTAATTATATATATTTTTGTCATTACTTTTGTTTATCACACGGCTTTTCGTACCCACTTTGATGTATCGGGATTCACACCTGAAAGTTTTACTTTGAAGGTAAAACGCTCTCTAACAAAGACAATTTCATATATGTTTTTTGCTATGATATATTATACTAAATAAAGAATTATTTTGGGACACATATGGTTCTTGACTTGTTTCCGAATAGTAGTATATAACTTCTCGACCAGTATTCTAAACTATGTTCTAAACTACGACTAGCCCTTTTGACCAAATTTTTGAGATGTCAAAGGTGCTTAGTTTTATTTTAGAAAAAATACTAATTAGAGAATTGAGGTGTTTGGCCATGCTTATAAGAAAAAATATAGGAGTCGAAGATGTATTTAAGAAGCTGAAAAAATAATTTCTCCCTAGAAACACTTTTTGAAAACTAGCGCCCAAGCACACATTGCCACTCTAATATCAGAAAAAGTACTTTTCAAATTGATTAGTCAAACATAAACTGCTACTCTTCAAAAGTACTTTTCAAAAAACACACCAGCATAAAGTACTTTTCACAATAAGCAAATTTTGAAAGCTTAGCGAGACATTAGATGAATTAAGTATCTAGTCAAGACGAGATATTCTAACACTTTGAAACAAATACAACCGTTGGAAGCTCGATTAGTGTGGAAAAAGTGAAGGAAAAAGTGAAGGAAAATATATATATATATATATATATATATATATATATATATATATATATATAAAGCTTTCCAATAGGCAATAAAATTTATAAGGAACCCGAGTATGGAAATTAAAACCCCACCGTTTTACCTGTTATTTTTTTCCTTCACTTTTTCCACACTAACGCTTATTCCATTCAAGAACTGATGTAGATACTTGACGATAGTTGCTTTCTTTTGTTTTGTTTCTTTTAGCTGGAGGAATGATCTGGGATTGTGCAACACTGAACCTGTATAATGAGCTAGCTATAACCCTTATACTGATATTTTGCTTATATACCTGATTTACAGAAGTGCACGTACATGCACGTACACATTTATATTACAAGGTTGAATCGGCCAATTATAGCAGATGTAGCACACCTCTCACTTCTCAAAAAAGCTGCTGTTTACTCCTGCTCTATATAAGTGCAAACCAGAAGATGTTGCAACTGTAATGCTGATGTTTGCTGGTGCAAAAAAGACGTCACCTTCACAAACAATCTCGTCTGATGATGTGGTCATTGTTCCCTCTCCCTCTATGACCAAAAACATAGAGGGACCAGGAATAGCAGGGAATTCAGCAGTTGATTGTTTGGGAAGAATACAGCGATCGACCTCAAATTCATCAAAAGGAGGGACGAACCTCATAGTGTATGGATTTACTGCAGTACCGTTCAGAATTTCAGGAGAACCCTGCAACAAAGAACGAATTTTTATAAGTGTAGATAAATAAGCAGACACCCAATACCATTTTAATTGCACTTAAGAGAGTCTTGCCAAATATTTAGCCTGCCCACGCAGCCAAAAATGTGGAATAGCCCAATAGAAACTACAAATAGGGTATTCAAGGAGATTCTAAATATAATTGATGCATATTACGCATCAATTGGCAAGACAAGTGACTTGAACACTTGAAACATTCTTGATGGAAATTAGACTCTTGAAAGATGCTTAATATATGGATCATAATCCTAAATGTCCTAACCAATTTATTCAGTAACTCGATGTCAGAATAATGCAACTCTTTCCTAACCTTTGTCAACTCCCAATGTTTTGAAGTACATAACAAGGCTGCTGCTATACTTAAATTCCAATCAGGAAGTTCAATTTTAAAGAATGACCTTAATGGTGTCTGGACCGTATGTACCTGTCTGTAAGTGAGCATTGAGCATAGAGTTTTAACATCCCGGTGCTTTGGAGTTAGGCCAGCACGTACCACGTTGTCTGATGTTGCCATGATTTCAACACAATCACCATATATATAAGCATGAGGTTCATTTGCCCCTATATACAAAGCTTCACCAGGTTTGAGTTTTACATAATTTAACAAGAATGCAGCTAAGACACCAACATCAGCTGGATATTGCTTCTCGAGTCTTAGGACCACTTGTTCTTTCTCAGTCAGCTGCCTTGCCTACAACATGAAAGATGAAAAAGTCATAATTACCGTCCACATGAATAAGTCTCCACCATGCAAAAGAACAAAAGGAAGAGTTGCAACTACTGCTTAGATTTACAAACACATCTTAACTTATAGCTGACCGGGGACTATTATGACTTTACCTGATATTTTATGTGTAGGCGACTAATCAGCTTGGCTATCACTTCAGCAATCATATCCTTGCTTGCTGACATTATCTCAGTAAACACTGATTGTAGAACTAATTTAACTTTCTCCTTTTCACCATCCTCATTCAAGTCTAATACTTGCTCTGTGCGTGCATTGCCAACCACTTCGATAATCTCGGGCACAGTTTGAACAATCAACTTAAGCTCCTAAAAAAATTCATACGTATTTGTTAAATCACATCGAACTTGTCTTTTTGGTTTTCATATACTCATGGAAGTTTAAGCCCATTTATTATCTCAAGCTAAAGAGCACAACAGATACTGCTTCTCAAGTGAGCCAAAATAAGTTTAAGTTACACCATTCTTCTATATGCAATATTAGCGTTTATGCTACAATAAGATTAAGGACCAGGATAAAGCTTTTCCAGGCTTGCAGTCTAACAGAATATGGATGGCAAACCGGTAGCAAATGTAACTATGCCAGTTTAAAAGTTGAAAAAATTGCAAATATTATAAACCAAAAGAAAATTTTAATTTAAACAATTCCAGTAACGCCTTTTTCTTTTAAGTCAGACAGGTCTAAGAACATGGTAGCAGCCAGGTGGGGTTTTTATCTACCACACAGAAGTACCTCATCCTCTAAAGCGCAACCCAAATATTACATAAATATAAAGAAAACAAATTTCTTAACTCTGGCAGAACTCATTCTTAGTGGATTGTAGATTTAAGGGCACCTCAAATGTGCTTTACCCTGGAGTACGAAGTCTAACATAATTCCAAAAAATTCACTAGACCTACAAAACAACAAAGATGTTGAGTACCTCAAGACTTATAAATCCACATAAGGCCTCAAATTCTGTCAATGCCAATGCCATCTCCGGTTTGTGATTGTCATCCTTATAAACATCCGGGAGCTCACTATGCAGACGAGTGGCCAAATCCTTGTCTGGATGGGCCTGTATGGACAAAGCTTTTGCAACAGAAAGTACCTAAAAGTCGACACACGTTAGACACTTATCAAAACCATACCGATAGACAACTACAAAGGGATTTAGCTCATCCAAAATGTATCAAGCTAACTTAAATAAATAGAATTGTCTCCTTATCTGATATTTGGGGTACTCTCAACTCTGGTGTTTCTACTTCTAATTTTATATTGACTCCATTACTACATGAAAAAGTGAACTTTTTTCATATGATTTTTTTTAATTATAAAAAAAATCATGAAGTGCACTAACTTCAATGTAGTTCCTCAGTATCAAAATCTCTTTTAATTTGTTGCTTAAAAATGAAATCTATGTTCGAATTGAAACCGAATATTAGATAATTTGGCCCTGAATCAGTAGCTATTATAGAGGAATATAATTATACGGGAAAGCATATAATGAAAAAATCAAAACTTGATACGATTCCAAAGGAAACTGGCTAACAATCTAGTAGTTTTGGGTCACACCGTGTTAAGAAATCTACCAAATATTATTAAATTTCGAAAGCAGTAACTCATTCTTAAACAAGCGATTGAAGGGAGCAAACCTTAAAGAGAAAAGGAAGGTTGGAACCCCACTTATTCACAATCTTATCTCCAACAACACTTGGGTTGCTTTCAATCCAATTCTTCAATGTCAACGTCAATCCATTCTCAGCTGCTCCTTTCACAACATAAGAAGGCCCAGAATCGTGAGTACCCATCCAAAATTCCGCATAAGGCTTGTCCTGCTCAATAATATGGTCACCAGTATTGCGCGAATATAGGCGCGCCACACGAGATTCTTTCCCCGGTCTTCCCCAATCGTAATTCTTCACACACCCCTTCAACCTCACCAGCCCTCCTCCTTCCTCCATAGAATGATTTAACTCAAAAAAGAACTTTTTTCTTTTCTCTACAAAACTTGTAGTAGTCTCTGTTTATGTTGGAGTGAAGTGAAAGGGTATGAAGAAGGAAGAGGATTATGAGGAGCAATAAATTTGCTGTTTCTCTATTCAAAGGAGCCAGGGTGGCTTCTGTTCAAAGGAGGGAACGAGGAATAATCAAAGGAATAAATAGGAGTAATTTTTAACGCAAGGTTGCGCTTTCACACATATAAATAAGACAAAAGATTTATTGTCAATTGTCAACCTCTTGATAGTACTAATACTGTACAAAATCAGATTTTGTCAACTTAAGGATAATCAATACAAAATTATATTTTTTTCAAGCTACTAGGACTAGTTATTAATGCAAATTTGGATTTGATTTGCATTGAACACGGTAAAGCCCACAAAGTCATAAAACAATTGTATCAGAGTGACTTTTATAGTATTTAATTTTATTTTATATTTTTATAAGAAATTATTTTCACTACTAGTACTTGTAAATTTTTTTGATAACTAAAATATACTACTCTAATTACCGGTAAATAATACAAAATTACAGCATAACACATTTTGTTACTTGTCTTAAACAACTGGTGCAAAATATACAATAGCCTGTTTGGCCAAGTTTCAAATATTAGCTTATTTTGAGAAGTACTTTTTTTCAAAAGTATTTTTCTCAAAAGTACTTTTGGTAGAAACACTTTGTATTTGACTAATTAATTTGAAAAGTACTTCCAAGCAACAATTAATGTTTGGCCAAGCTTTTAAAAAGTGATTCTATAAGTGCATTTAGTGTTTTTTCAAAATAGTGTTTTTGGGGAAAAGCTAAAAAAATTTACTTCTCCAAAACTGCTCCTGCTTCTACTCAAAAGCATTTTTTTCTTCTAAAAGCTTGGTCAAACACTTCAACTTTGAAAAATATATATACATATATATTAAAAGGTGCTTTTGCATTTGGAGAAGTTTGGCCAAACAGGCTATAACTCGCTATGACTTTACTACTAAGGGGTCGTTTGGTAGGAGTTATATAAGAATAGTGCTAAACGAAATGTATTACTCCATGTTGAGATTACTTTTTATCACTGTTTGGTTTGGTATATTAAAGCATTACATAATTTCTAAATAAATTGATTGTTTACAAAAATATTCTCCACATTCTTAAACTTTTCATACTATTTTAATTGCAAAAGTTTATTACCCTCCACATTCTTTACTCTCTCTAAAGCGTACTTCTTTTTACAGGGGAGCAAAATTAAAAGAGAAAATAATTGAAATATTAAAGTTAAAAGAGAAAAAAATTTAACTACTATGACATATAATACAAAATATCAATTATTAAAAAAATGGCAAATTTTTAACAAATAAATAAAATTCATACAGTATATAGTTTGGACGAATTCAAAACTAATATTAGTATTAAATATGATATTATTTTGATTATAGTAGAATGCTAAAGGGGAAAAACTAATTAAAATATCACAATATAAAAATATACAAAACATGACGGAAAGTATTTGGAATTGGTTTTGAGGGGTTTGATGGGTAATTATGTCTTTAATAATATTTATGCAAGTATTAAAACCCTTTCATTGCTAAGCCTAATACCATGATTTGCTAAGTAGTAGTTATACATAGAATAATACCAAATAAGAAATATAATTAATTATACATAAATTGAAAAACTATACCAAACACGGGATAAGTAATGCACACAACTAACGGTTGCATTATTTTTTTTCTAATAACCTCCTACCAAAGGACTCCTAAGGGGTGGGGCATACCTCCTAGGGAGGTTTTCTTTTGAGTCCGGAACCAAAGTGTGGCTCTTTTGGACTCAAAGAACCAAAATGTGTGGGGAAAAATCGGGCACCATAATATGTATAGCGTAGTATTTCACCGCGCTATACGTTAATGGTCGTTTGTCTGTTAAGGTATAACGCGGTCACCGCGCTATATTTGAACTTAAATCGGTGGAGGTATAGTGCCCTTATTGACAACGCTGTAGTATAGCGCAGTAAATAAGGGCGCTATACCTACATAAATAAACGGGCCATCTCCTTCCCCCAAAAACAGAACGTCCCCCCCCCCCTACTTTTAACGAAAAAAACTCAGGCGGAGCCCACCGTCCCAAAAAAAGTGTAGATTCTCGGTCCCACATCGTATCTTGTATTGGGTTGCTTGTTTCGGCTCCAAATCACCAAATCTTCAACTTTCCAAAAAATTTAAATCGAGGTATTCCGACTATTTTTTTGTTAAAAATTATCTTTAAAAAATGACTATTAGTTGTTTTTACTATGTTCTATGTTATTTTGTGATTGTTTTGCAATTTAATTAATTTATTACTTTTTATCCGAATTATATTATTAGCGTGATAAAAAAAATTAGTAAAATAGAGAAATTGTTATTAGTTGTTAAAAAATGCTAATTAGTTAATTTTTACTTTGGTATATATTTCTTTGTGATTGTTTTGTGATTAAAGTAATTTATTATTTTTATCCGGTTTAGATTAGTTATTTGCTAAAAGATTAGTAAAATAGATAAATTGTTATTTTAGGAATAATTAATCTTATTTAGATGTTATTGTTGTACATATATGAATATGTGACTTTAGTTTCCTGTAGTGGTATCTTGTACCCGTAGTTTTAATGTAGTGCTCGTATTTGTAATGTAGTGCCCTTTTAGCGTAATGTAGTGCCCTTTAGCGTACTATCTTTGTAGCTATTGAAATTAATCATTTAATTATCTGTTAAACCCAAAAATATCTGAAAAAAGTTGATAGTTAAAACGCAAACTCTCTCGAAACCTAGTCAACAAACGTAATAAAATAACATTAGTAAACAGCAATATTTATCACTCACAAAGCCTTGTTACATGAATATTTAATAATTAAATCTTGTATAGTTATAAAAATTAATTATTTAATTTTATTATAGTCAAAAATAGGTGAATAACAAACAAACATATAAACTAGTAAACTAAAATATAGATATTAAAGTAACATATAAAATATAAAATTATAATATAGAAAATGTATCAACCTTGGTCACTTTCCGGAATTTAATGGGCAAGACTCAAATTAATTATCTTCTCTGTAGGAAATGTGATAAAGGTCTGTGCATTGACTGCAAGGTCATCCCAAGTGAGCATCTCACGACTCTACATAGGCTCCTAGTTATGTGCCTGGAGATCAAGAGGAGTAGAAGGAAGAGGGCGGGGTGCAGGCAACCTAAGATCAAGTGGGGTAACTTGACCAAGGACAAAGCTCAGGAGTTAGGGGAGAAGTTGTTGGCTATGAGGTCCTGGATGAGTAGGGGGGACGCGTCTAGTATGTGGTTCACGAGTGCGGATTGCATTAGGGAAGCTGCTAGAGAGGTCTTAGGGGCCACGAAGGGCTCTCCTGGGGGTCATAAAGGGGAATGGTGGTGGAATTGAGAGGTTCAAGGTAAAGTGGAAGCTAAGAAAGCTGCTTATTTGAAGCTAGTAGAGAGTACAAATGAGGAGGAAAAAAGGACTTATCGGGAGTGTTACAGAAAGGCAAAGAAAGAGGCGAAGTTAGCAGTTACGACGGCTAAGAAAGCGGCGTTTGCTTGTTTGTACGAGGAGCTCGAGGGCAAAGGCGGGGACAAGAGGTTGTACCGGTTGGCCAAGGTGAGGGAGAGGAAAGCCCGCGACTTAGACCAAGTCAAGTGCATCAAGGACGAGGATGGAACAGTGTTGATGGACGAGGCACTTATTAGGAGAAGATAGCAGACATACTTCCATAAACTGTTGAATGAAGAGGGGGATAGACGCATTGTGCTGGGTGAGTTGGAGCACTCCGAGAGTCGGCGGGATTTTGGGTACTGTAGGCGGATTACGTTAAAGGAGGTGGAAGGGGCGATGCGTAAGATGTGCAGGGGCAGAGCGACGGAGCCAGACGACCGGTGGAATTCTGGAAGAGCGCAGGGTGGGCAGGTTTGGAGTGGCTCACTAGGTTGTTTAATGTTATTTTTAAGACAAAGAAGATGCCCGAAGAATGGAGGTGGAGTACGATGGTTCCGCTTTACAAGAACAAGAGTGATATCTAAAATTGCAATAATTATAGGGGTATCAAGTTGTTGAGTCACACTATAAAGGTTTGGGAGAGGGTGGTGGAGGCCAGGTTGAGGAGGTCCGTGTCTATTTCCAAGAATCAGTTTGGATTCATGACGGGGCGTTCGACTACGAAAGCGATTCATCTGGTAAGAAGATTAGTGGAGCAGTACAGGGAGAGGAAGAAGGATTTGCATATGGTGTTTATTGACCTTGAGAAAGCATACGATAAAGTTCCGAGGGAGATCTTGTGGAGGTATTTGGAGGTTAGCGGTGTTCCGGTAGCGTACATTAGTGTGATTAAGGATATGTATGATGATGCTAAGACTCGGGTGAGGGCTGTGGGTGGTGACTCAGAGCATTTCCCTGTAGTGATGGGGTTGCACCAGGGATCGGCTCTTAGCCCATTTTTATTTGCCTTGGAGATGGATGTATCGCGTCACATCCAAGGAGAGGTGCCCTGGTGCATGCTATGTACCGATGATATAGTGTTGATTGACGAGACGCATAGCAGAGTTAACGCGAGGTTGGAGGTTTGGAGATAGACCTTGGAGTCTAAAGGATTCAAACTGAGTATAACCAAGAAAGAATAGTTGGAGTGCAAGTTCAGTGATGGGACCCATGATGCAGACGTAGAGGTTACGCTTGATGCTCAAGTTATCCCCAAAAGAGCGAGTTTTAAGTATCTCGGGTCGATTATCCAGGGTAACGGGGAGATTGACGAAGATGTCGCTCATCGCATTGTAGCAGGATGGATGAAGTGGAGGCTCGCTTCCGGTGTTTTGTGTGATACGAATGTGCCGCTAAGACTTAAGGGTAAGTTTTATCGAGTGGTGGTTCGACCGGCTATGCTGTATTGGGCTGAGTGTTGGCCAATCAAGAACTCCCACGTGCAGGAGATGAGAGTAGCAGAGATGAGGATGTTGAGATGGATGTGTGAGTGTACCAGGAGAGATAGGATTAAGAATGAAGCTATCTGGGACAGAGTTGGAGTAGCCTCCGTGGAGGACAAGATGCAGGAGTCGAGGCTGAGATGGTTCAGACATGTTAATAGAAGAAGCATTGATGCTCCTGTTAGGAGGTGTGAGAGGTTGGCCATGGAGAATTTGAGAAGAGGTCGGGGTA